AGCAATGCAGGGAATGCCCAACTCACATCTGTGATGGCCTTCTTGGCCTTCTCCTCAGCATTGCGGGCTTCCTGGATCGTATCCTCCATTTCACTCTGRATCTGGGCAATGTCTGTTTCCAGCTTCTTCTTGGTGTTGATCAAGCTGGTATTCTGTTGAACAATCAAATTTTGTGCTATTATTTCCAAAAGAGAACTCTTATTTTAGAAATTTACTGTTTCAATGTAAAGTTATCTGCTAAATATCTAATATTAGCATCTTCCTGATGCATCTTGTCAGGTCATACACAGCCAGATAGAGAATTATTAAAATTTGAAGAAGCCCTTCTGACTGCTAATGCAATCCTACTCATTTAGCCGCAACCAATTTTTCTGCACAAGTGTAATAATTCTGGTTTATGTAGAGCTTCTTTTATAAGACTTGCTTTAAGAATTTTCACAAAAGATCTGTACATGRAGAAAAAGGCCCATGAGATTTTGAATCCTATGAATCTCACCTGAGTGTGGAGAAGCTGAACTCTCTCACTTGCATCCAGAAGCTCCTGCTCAGCCACTTTCCTCGACCGTTCCGTCTGCTCCAGGGCTGCCCGTAGCTCCTCAATTTCAGCCTGCAGCAGGTTTGCTCKGCGYTCCACCATGGCCACCTGCTCCTTCAGGTCATCCTGTGTCCTGAGAGCATCATCCAAGTGTATCTGGGTGTCCTTTAAGAGAATAAAGAGAAATTATAAGGTGGAGAAGAAAGAGAAGTTATAACATGATACAGCACTGTTACACTATGGCAATTGCCACCAGTCCAATAATTATTATGGCAGTTCATTACATGTAATTATAGGTATATATTTTATTTTGGAWTTTTTGTCAGTCTGTCTTAGAAAGTCAGCAAGGAGATTGATTCATGGGGATCTGGGACAGCTGGAGAGTAAGGTCAGGACCCTGAATTTTAGGAGAGTRGACTTTTAGTTGTTTAAGGATATAATGTGTAGTACCCACTTGAGAAACTGCCCTTGAGGATAAAGAGCCAAAAAAGAGTTAAGAACTTTTTATTTAAAGGGCAAGAGCTCTCAAATCATGTGTGTAAACAGTCAGGCAAGACAGGACWTCAGCGTGGCTGAGCAAGGGCCTTCAGGCCAAACTGAAGTCTAAGAAGGAAACGCCTAGGTGGAAGAACGAGGGCCACATAACCTGGGAAGAAAGCAGAGATGCTGTCTGGATGTGCGCTGATAGGATTTTGTAAAGCCAAGGTAGAGTTGGTGCTGAATTCCTGTTTTATTAAGTTTTTATGTGGCTTCACACTGACTATTGTGTGCAGCTCTGGGCTCTTCAATTAAGGATTGTTAAGAAGGGACTGCAATGCATGTAGAGGATGACAGCAAAGCCACTGGACGAATTAAACGCCCCTAAGCACATCCTTAGCTTAATATACCTTGAGCACTCCCTGGGTATTTCTCAGGTTCTTCTGTGCCTCTGCAGCCTGGCGGTTRGCATGGCTCAGCTGGATCTCCATTTCATTCAGGTCTCCCTCCATCTTCTTCTTCAGCCTCAGGGCTTCATTCCTGCTCCTGATCTCAGCATCCAAGCTGCTCTGCAAGGACTCCACCACTCGCAGATGGTTTCTCTTCAGCTGGTCAATCTCCTCATCTTTCTCTGCTATCTTCCTGTCAATCTCAGACTTGACTTGGTTGAGCTCAAGCTGCAGGCGCAGGAT